GGAAGGAAGGAAGGAAGGAAGGAAGGAAGGAAGGAAGGAAGGAAGGAAAAAAAAGAAAGGAAGGGAGAGAGGGAAACGGGAAGGAAGGAGGGAGGGAGGGAGGGAGGAAGGGAGGAAGGAAAGAAGGCAGGAAGGCAGGATTCGTGCTCACTGTAAACAAAAATCTGAACTGTACACAGCTCTGCTGAGATACGCAGTTTGGTGTATGGATGTTTCTTCGGGTTTTTTTTTCTGAGCATAGACTAACGTGCTTTTTTAAACAAAAATGAGGTTACCCCCTGGACACTGCTGAGCAAACTGTTTTCTGCCCCTCCCTTATTTAGCCATATATCACCAACATCAAATAACTTTACAGGTTTATTTTTAATAGCTGCCTCAGAATCTATTACACGGGTTTATCACAGCTTACTTCACAAACCTGCTATTAACAGAGTCAGAGGTTTGCCTCTGTTTCTCACTCTGCTTCTGCCACATCTCTCGCTGCATATCTGGGTGCTGGGGCAGAATAAATCCCAGGAGTTAAATCCCAGGGTCACAGGTTTGTGCAGTTAGCGCTTTAACCAATCGTGGCTTTCACCTTTCAGAAAGGCGTGCCTGTATATACTCCCACCATTGTAAGAGGGGTCTTCTGATGAACTTTGTGGGAGCGAGTGTGGGGCTGTTTGTCTGTTTTCACTGGTTTGGAGGTGTAAGAGATTCACAGATGTGAAGATCAGAACCAGGCCAGCAGATGACCGCAGAGGATCAGACAGTGCCCGGAGCCCTGGGTTCAGACAGACGTTTGCAGAGACCTCAAGGCTACCGCTTCCTGCCTTAGGTGCCTTAAACGGGTTTACTTAAATCTCATGACGTCTTGTATTTATCAAGAACACCTTTGAGAAATGTGAACATTCTGAGGTAGTCTCCAAATTCTTAATTATCCAGAAGAGCCCCATCATGGCTCTTTGGTAACAAGCAAAAAACATGATGACCTTTTTCTATTACACTTTTTTGAAAATCTAGGCAGGTAATTTCATCTCTTCATGATTTTTGTGCTGAACGCAATTTAAATTAAAAAAAAAAAAACTTTCCTTGAATGAGAGTGTCTGCATCATAAAATAGAGCACTGAAACAATGATTTCCATAAAGCCATGCTCTTTATGAGGCTACTGCTGTTGTGTTTGCAGACCCTCCCTCCGCTGAGAGTGCCCCTCCACGTTCCCTCTGTCCCTTCCCTTAATGACGTGTGCACACACTCATGTAAGCAAGCGGGGCAGCCACAGGTAGACTGCTGATCATCGTAACAAAGAACCCTTCCCTAACACTGCTGGAAATTTCGTCTTACAATTCTCTTACGAGGAATAATCCAAAGGAGAAGGAATTATTGCAATAATTTATTTTTAAAAATTGACTTGAGGAAAAGCATTTTTTATTCTAAATGTCCTGGTTAATTTTCCACAGTAATCAAACTTGCAGATTAATTGCTCAGCTCTCTATCTTCATTTTAGGGGTATGACTTTTGTCATGGGTTCCTTGCTAGTCTCAGTGGCTTTGGAATTATAAGTTGGAGGAGGCCTCATTGAAAAGCATTTTTATTCAAAACTTGATCCTTCTGGGGTGGTATATGCACATGTTTGTATGTATATACAAATATACATACAAATGCACAAAAATGTACATGTATTTGTAGGCATATTTGTGTGTATGTGTATATATATATATATTTGTATTCTCGCTATGTAATCATATGGTATATATGTATAGTTTGGGAGGATGTGTGCATATTTACATATTTGGGGTACAGGTCTCATGATTCCATAGTAAATCCAGTAGAGGCTATTTAGGCTTGTGGAGCATGGTGTGCATGGGGGCAGCGCTTTTAACTCCCTTCAACCCAGCAGTGTGTCTCTGCTACAGGTTCTTCCTCCTTCCTATCACTTTATCCTCCTGAACACAAGCTGGCATCCAAGACCACCTGGGACCACCCCGGGAAAGACCTGGAGAGCTGATTTCAATATTTTCTCTCCTCCTGGTAAAATATTTATTGAAACTGTGCAGAGTGAGAAGTCTTCCTCTGGTTCAGAAATTGTTTGCCTGTAAACACACTGACCTGGATTGGGGGAGCCAAGTGAGACTGGAGAAAATAAATAACCAGCACATTCCCATTATGCAGGCGCCCAGGCTTCAGGGGAGATGGCAGGGGTGAGATGGGAGCCACCGCTGGTGCACAGCACAGACAAACCCTCCGCTCCAAAGGATATAAAAAATGATGACTGAAAAATGTTCTGTCTCTTTGGGCTGTGGCCGTGTTTTTAGTGGTTAATGTTTTTATGGTACTATTCTTTGGGAGGAAAAAAATCTATTCCTGCAAAGATGGACTAATAGGAAATTGTTAAGAACGAAGAGCCAGAAAGAGAAGTGACACTGACCCTTCTCCCTGCACACTACCCCCTCGTAAAATGAGGGAGCTGGGGAGGGGGAGCAGGAAGCAGGGCAAGGCTGGGCCGCGCCTGGGGCACTCACCGTTGACAAGCCTGTATTTCTGGGCCAGGAGGGCAGCCTGCAGACTTTTCCCACTGCCCACGGGCCCGAGCAGCAGCACCCTCGGGGTGAACGGGGCATTAGTACGATGGTTGCTTTGGACATAGGTCAGAGCTGGAAAGAGAGGATATGAAGATAATCAACCCAGGTCCTAAAGAACGGGGAAGCAGCTGGCAGCCCTCTGCTTTGGCTCTTTTAATCGCAGTAACTCTTCTCTTTCACAGCACCATGGAAGCCCTCTGTACATCTGCCCAGCAGCCAAAGGTGAAGAGGCAGGGAAAATAAGTACATGGCAGGCCTGGGCACCAAGGCAGGGAGCAAGCAGCGAAGTGCACAGAAGCCACCCGCTGAGCGCTGCCCTGGAACTCCTCCAAACACGGTGCCGGGTTCTGCACATCTTCCCAGGTTGAACTAGGGCTGGCTGAGTTGCAGTTGGGAGGCTGGTCCCAGGATGTGACAGCACTCTATAGGGCTGGTGACTTTTCACACTGAATCAGGCTGAGCCTCCTAACTGGAAGCCCAGGACTAGGCTGGTCTCCTAGAAGTGCATGCTGGCTTTCTGCTAGGTGCACTTGAATGTCAGACACAGGCTTTGATAAACACATCCAGCCACATGGGGGCTCAGTGCCCAGGGACTTCTGAAAGACTCGAATTGGTGGAGAGTAATTTGTACAGCTGCACTCTGGTGACACCAACATCGCTGTGAGTCTCCAAAGAGGCAGCAATCAAATAGGTCACAGGGGTGGACGAATGTAGCTGCATGGCCCTGGCCTGTGGTGTGCCCCTGGCATTTGGTGAACAAAGAAGTGAAGACATGGGGTGAGTGTCTCCCACAATGAGGCCACCTGCACCACAGGGGGCACTGGATGCCAAGAAGCCACCCGGAAAAGCTACTGAACATCAAACCAGGTCACCTCCCGCCAGAGCTCAGATGCAGGGAGCTGTGAGAAAAGGCTGATGAGGCTATAAAGGGCAGCATTTCGGGCACCTGAACCAGGGGAGACGCCCAAAGATGAGGCACCAACCTGTGCCAGCCCCCAAGCCAGCCTTTAAAATGCGTCTCCTTCCCCAGGGAGACCTTCCCCCTCCTGCCAAGACCCCAGTCTGTTCTGTGCAAAGTCAGCCACAGGTGCCCCGTTACACCTTTCCGCCAGTCTGCCTTTGCCAATGTGCCTTGCAGTGGATTCTGTGCTGGGTGAGGGGCCAGGCCATCGCGCCTCCTTCAGGAACGTGCCATCCAAGAACCAGGCAGGTCCCTCATCGTCAGCACTACCACCATTTGGGGCCAGATGATTCTTTGTTGTGGGGCTGTCCTGGGCACTGCGTGATGTTGAGAAGCATCCCTGACCCTTACCCGCTAGGTGCCAGTAGCACAACTGCAAGGTATGACCACCAAAGAGCCTTTTCAGACATTGCCAATGTCCCCGGGGGTGCAGCAGGAGAAAAACTGCCCTGGATTGTGAACCGCTGGGATATGTGCATGGTGAAAATCCTGAATTCTGAAATCTTTGCAGGACTTTTAAATTGGAAGGGCCATTAGAGATGCTACAGTCCCCTCTTTTTCAAAGGCACAGATGAGTTAAACTGGACCGTCTTCCAGGTTGTGATCAGCATCAGTGGCATGTACTAATTGCTATGACAAACACTCTAAAGGCATCATCTCGTTGGTTTGACCCAGCAATCCCATGAGGGTTGTGTTACTCATGTCCCATTTTACAGATGAGCCCATCAGGCTGAGACGTGGCAGAGGTGGGGCAACTCTCCCAAACCTCCTGCCATGGGTAACCATTCCTCCACTGAGAGAAGCCCAAAGGAAGCTACTCGGGCGAGGCTCTCTTTCTTCTCAGACCTTCCATAATCCTGTGCATCTGAAAAGCACAAATACTACAGGCAAAGCAGCCTGCTTACAAATGATGCTTAATTTACAGTAAATAACTAAGTTAATTAGAAGTAATGATCCCCCAGACAGCCTCAACATCTAATTATTCCTTTTTTAAAATATGTGGTTGCTGGATGCACTGCAGAGAGATTAAAAAAGCACACAGAGAGAATTCTGTATTCCAATTTTCAATTTATCTCTCTGCATTATTAATTAATAATAATTAATATTCAGACACTCACATTTTTATTTACAATTCCAGGCATGAATTCTTTATGAACGATCATATGAACTTTTAAATTTAATTAAGTAATTTGGAAGTAATTAATGTGTAAATTCAGAATCGTGGCATAAGACGAACGTTGTGGTTGTTTATCTTAAGAGTGCAGTGTTTGCTACTAAACACCCTTCCGAGATGCGAAATCACTGGGAAACTATGAGCCATCATAAGCCTGGCATTTCTTCTTTAAGTAGCATCATTTTCTACTTCTCCCAACCCACCCGTTGGCTGATTGCCCCCTTCAGAGGGCGAGACTGTTCAGTCCACGCCGGTGAGCGTTGCATTTCCGGGCTCAGTGTAGCAGTGAGGTTTATGCACCGAGTCTGCTGGCAGGAGAGGGTGCTGGGAGAGTCGGCAGGGATGGGCTTGAGGGCGCTCGAAACCACCTCCCCAGCAGAATAGAACTTTTCTTGGAGAGATTTGAGAGAATATATGAAAAAAGGACTTTGTAAACTGTCAAGCGTCTTAAATATCTGTGATGCCCCCTGCATCATAAACGCTTCATTTACCTGACACTGCACGGAAGGGAATAACTAGATTTTGAGATGACTGTAGCTCAGCAAGACTTTTAAACACGATAATACAGCTGTTTGGGAATAGAGTTATTCTGCCTTGCCCTCGCCTATTTGGACAGGGTGTTGAACAGCGATAGGAGCTAGGGTGTCTGATGTTTACTGAGCCCTTTCCCTGTGCCAGCACTGGGCTTGTGGCTGTAGACACATGATTTGGAGAATCCCATTTAATCCTTACCTGGGAGGAGGGCATGCGTTTTGGTCCTATTTTAGGACCAAAACCAGGGCTCTGAGGAGTTAGGAGAATTGCCGGAGACTGCACAGATGACCTGTGTCAGGGCTGAGATTGGGACACGTGGCCCAGCCTCACACAGGCTGCCTGCAGTTGCTCCCGCGCAGCTGTGAACACTGGCCGTGGCTGCGGACAGCAATGCAGTACCGGGCATGGGGCCACGCATTTCCATCCTAAATGAAGCATACCGCCTGAGTTGTGTTGTGTGTGTGTGTGTGTGTGTGTGTGTGTGTGTTTTGTCGTGTGTGGTGGTGGTGGTTTTGTTTTTGTCTTCATGTTTATATATTTTTTGTTTCTTCTCCTTTCAAGGTCAGGCTCAAACTTCTTGCTACCACGTCCCTCCCACCCCGTCCCTCACCTCTCCTCCTCCCAACCCCATCACCACCAAATCTGCTGTGGCCAGAGATGTGCCCACGTCAGTGTGGGATGCTAGCCCAGGGTGTCCAAGTGGGGCACCCCCAGGGGCTCTGCACACATGCGTTTCTGGGCAGGGAACCCAGGTCATGACTCCCAGGCATGTCCCAGACACTGGCCACTATCAGAGTAAGGGACAAAGCGGTAAAGGGCACAGTGAACCCTGCCCTAAGCTGCCTGTCCCGGGTGGCGCTGCCAGTTTGTGTTTACCTTGGTAGAAGACGTCCACACACGGCTGGTCAGCACTGATGACCTTGAGGATCTTGGGGTAGGAGGGGATGATCCTGACGATGTTCCTGTGATACTCCAGCAGTTTCTGAGCCGTCTCCAGCTCTGAGATGCCCTCTGGCACCATCAGACGGTTCTGAATTTCAGATTCGGGTGGCCAGTCAAAGGTGGTGTGATAAATCTCTGCACGGAGGGAGGTACACAGTTAGAAATACCCACATAGGGGCCCTGTGGGCGCTGCTGTGCCTGGCTGGGGTGCTTCTGTCCTGGAGGCCAGGGTCAACAAATTCCTGGGGTGTGGCTGACTGCGGCAGGTCACCGATGCCCAACACCAGCACTTCCAGCTGCTTCGAGCCTGCTCTTAACTACTGTTCTTGTTACAATATGAGCACAGGTCCCAGGGCAAGGGCCGCTGGGAACTTCTGGGTACTTACTCTGTGCCAGGCACTCTGACAGGCACTTACCTGCAGACTCTCATTTCATCCTCACAGTCATCCTGTCACACATTAGAATTTGGGATTTTCATCCCCAAGTACAGATGAGAAAACTGAGTCTCAGGTAACCCATGTCTACAGCCAGAAAGGAGCAGAGCCAGGGATCCACAGACCCAGGTGTATCTGCTGCCACAGCCTGAGCACTGGACGATCAAGGGCAGCCCCGCCTTCCCCATGCTCCCACCAGCCCCTTGCTCAACTGTCTGGTCTTCAAGGCCCAGTTCAAGGGCCCTGTTCCCTGCAGCACCTGCCAGTTCTCCCAGGTAATGCTCATGCCTCTCTCTTCTGTACACATACCAAAGAATGAGGGGTATCCGGGCTGGGGGCACATAATTTGTCCTAGGGAGATGCAGACACATCCCCTGGCTCCTGTGTAGGCTCCAAGCCCAGGTCCCTGGCATGACCCCTCACACTCTACTCTGGTTCTGTCACAAGGTCTCCTCCTTTAACCTAAATGGGCCTCCCTTTCCTCATCTACCAGAATGTATCCTTGCCGGTGTCTTCCAGCTCAGAGCCCAGCCTGTGGTAGCCTCCCTCATGTCCCTCTGTGGGTGCCCAGAGCAGAATGCGTGCTCAGGAAATAGCAGGCAGCCTGTCATCACCATGGTCTCTGAAAGCCCGTGGCACGGGGTGGGGGTGGCTACAGCCATACCTCCAGTTTGAGGATCGATTCTCTTCCCCAAGTTTCTCTCGATCAGGACCGTGTCTGGAGCACTCAGCATGACTGGGCAGGGAAGAAAAGGAGCAAAAGCAGGCATGTCAGGCAGTGGGTACCACACATTGGAATACCATGGACCAATACTTGCTTTAGGTTTCTTTTTCTTTCTGTATAATGACATTAAAACAATAACCATCTCCCATTCCTGTGAATTCCTAAGAGAAAGGTCTTCTTGCACCCAAACACAAAGAACATAATATCAGGACAGAGCACGGTCCATGACTGAAAATTTTGCCTGTTAACAATTTTCCTTGTCACAGACAATGCCGTGATGGGCATCCCTGCATGCACCGAACACTCGTATAGCATTCTAGTTGATTTCCTAAAGAGAGTTTCTGAGATACGAGATTCCTGGGACAAGGAATTACCAGGCTGAAAGCAAAACCCCGCTTTTCTTGAGAACCCGCCCTGAATACATTTAGCTCCGTGAAAAATTCAACTGTGCTGCCCTCCTCTTCCTTGCTGGGTCTTGGACAGCGCCTGGGCTGAGGCTGGGCGCAGGCAGCATGAGCGGAGTGCTCACTGGCTCACTGGCCGCCCCTAGGGGCAGCGGCTCTGGCAGTGGGGAGGGGCCCTGGGGAGCTACTCACTGACGTGTCTGGGGGCAATCCCAAGGGTCTGGATCCTCAGAGCCTGCTCACGCGTCTCAGGGATGCCGTCCAGAATCCAGCCCTAGACAGAAGATTCAGAGAGGTGCTCATCTGTTTTTATTTTTAGATTTTGGGGGAATTATTTTAAAAGGAATATAATAGCTTTACAGAAAGACTAGAGCTTTTAAGACAAAACAAAAACTAAATGTTTATCATCGCTACCTCATCCTTCTTTAAAAACTATTTTGTAATATATTATTATATTCCCTTCCGAATCTTATGTTGGTGATTATAATCATAACATACATATTTTACATCTTGATTTTTTCCACCACACAATAGCGACCACAAGCAACTCTTCATATCTGCACGGCTCCTCATTGTCCCCATTATGAATGGCTGCGCAGTGTCCCACCAAGAGAATGTACACAGCCACTTAACTATGCCCGCGAACGAACATTTCAACTGCTAACAGTGTTCATTATCATAAATAAATCATAAATAATACCTCGACGATCATCTTTGCACATCTAGTGCTTTCCACATTTTGGACAATTTCCTAAAGAGAGTTTCTGAAATACGGGATTCCTGGGACCAGGGTGAATACAAAACCCCACTTTTGTTTTTATTTTCTGCCCCATATCTCTGCAGGAACACCCCACTTTTCTTAAAAACAAACCCTGGATGATGATTCAGGTCTGCGGCTAACCTGTTACAGGATTGAAATTCCTCAGACATCAGCCTCCTCGTGGTACAGCTAGGGAACTGGTTTAGAGGTTTATTTTTACTATTTATTTATAGAGAGAGAACCTTGCTACGTTGCCCAGGCTGGTCTTGAACTCCTGGGCTCGGGCAATCCTCCTGCTGCAGCCTCCCAAAGTGCTGGGATTACTGGCGTGAGCCACTGTGCCTGGCCTTTACTAACTCTTTAAATCCAATTGGGAGAGTAATATACAATCATTGTACACTATGTGGAAAACACTGAAAAGGTGAAATAATAATAAGAGTCACTGATAATACCTCAGACCCAAACAAGCCACTGTCAACATTCTGGTATATCTCCTTCCAAGCAGCAAGTGCAGATACCTTTTTTCCTGGGGGCTGGGACTTGTGGGGGAGGGGAATCACACTGTACATACTATTTGGTAATTTGTTCATTTCTAGCAAAAACATTTCATGAACATTTTCCCATGTCACAAAGTGTTCCTTGCGTAGAAGTTTTCATAGCTGCCTGGTACTGCATGAATTGACCTGATGTTCACTGATCCCACGTTGTTGCTCGTATTTTTCAGCTTGATTCCAGTTTTCCACTATTATAAGCAATGCTGTATATGCATCTTGATGCCTGTCAAACATCCTCAGATAAATTTCTAGAAGCTGATACCTTCTTTTATGACTTTTGATACATTTTGCCACATCGCTCTACAAAGTGGCCCACCAGTTTATGAATCCAATGGCAACGCATCTGTTTCCTTGCATCTCTGCCAATGTTGGGCATTATCTTGGGGGAAAAAAAAATCTGTCCAGCAAAATACAGTATACCACTGCTGCTTTAATTTACATTTCTTTGATCATTAATGAGGTTCAGTATTTTTTTCCATATGTGTATTAGCTATTTGAATTTTTTTTCTCTTCCAAAATGTCTGTTCATGTCATCTACTTTCCTCTTGGGGTCTCATCCTTTTATTTATGGACAAGAGCTCTTTACATATTAAGAACAGTAACCCATTTTGGATTTTGGCAAACACTGCCACAAACCTCTTGAGGCAAACAATGTTGCCAACATTTTCAGCAGTTTGTCTTGCAGCGTTTTCATTTTGTGTGTGGTGTTGCTTTTAACACACCAGTTTGTGGCCAAATCAATCACTGCATTCCTCTTTGGATTCTGGCACTGTGTGGATGCACAGAAATGCCCTCCCCACTGCAAAAGCTGATAAATATTCACTTGCCTGTAAATCATGTTCTTGGGTTTTTACTCTTTACATGTAAATAGTAATGATTTGTGTAACAGAGCCACAGTTTAGTTTGCGAATGCTGTGGGGCTGTGATCTAATCTGCTTCCTTGTGGCTCACCACCTGTTCCAAACTCACTCACAATACAGCCTATCTTTTCCCCTCTGAGCACACCTTTATCACAGTCTAAATGCTGATATGACATTGGCTCTGGCCTCTTTCTGCTGGTAGTTTGTTAAATTCTTTTTATTTAACATTTAAATTGTTGTTATTTTATAAGTTACCATAATGTCTGGTAAAATACGCTTTCCCTTCTTTTTTTTTTTTTTTT